TTGGTGTTTTGGTGTATAACAACAAACAGTAAAGAGACAATAAAAATAAAAAACAAGTGCGGAAAAGAATCGTAAAATAGAAAACAAAGAGAATTAAATGTTCAAAAGAAGGAAGGTTTTTATGACTTTATTCTCTGCTTTGTATTTTCCTTATTGGTCTAGCGTTTAACATTTAAATGTCTATTTTGTAGGTCTAAAGTGATTCTGTTCACCTCACAAAAAGCCAAAATTAACTTAATTTCCTCTAAAAACACAGCGAATATTGACCAGACATGTGCAACAAATACAGATTTTAAAGGGGTCACGAGCCCGACTAATAACGTGGAGACTTGATATCACATTAGTTCAGATTTAGAGGCAATAAGTGTTTAATAATGGGGGTGAAAAGGGATAAAAGCACTTATCTTAATGTCTGCAGGTGTGTTGACTGGAAGGTCAGTGGTTTATTTCCAGCGAGGTGACCTGAAACGCTTCATTGTCAGGGTGAATTATGATTGATTGATCATTAATTTGTCAAAGTAAATTACAGACAGCCACCAGGCCAGTCCTTACGGCAAAAATAATGCTAAATTATTAATATCGAGTACATTAGAGGCCGTACTCGGCGCCTTGTGTGGTTGAAGAGCCACTAAACCGTAAATGTGATGAATATTTTTACTGGCAGCCGACCAGCTGGTCAACCGAGGCTCTCTCTCATCATCTAATTTACTGATTGTGTGTGTGTGTGTGTGTGTGTTGAAATCTGCCCAGTGGAGACGTAATTACAAGAACAATAGCTTTGAAAGGGATTGAGACATTTTTCATCATTGTTGTTAAAGCGTTCACAGAAATCAAAATGTCACCGCGGGGTTGTTTCATCTGGGATTTAACACAGTAACCACCAAAGCAGTCACAGCTGCTCTCACTCACTTGAATCCTTTGTCACATGGGTTATTTTAGCCTTTAAAGAGCCGTTAATCAATGTTTTTTAATCAGCAACTGTTGGATGGGTTGCCAAGGAAGTTCATGACTCCCCCGAGGAAGAGCGGTGACTCCCTAACTTTTACTCAAGCTCCACCATTAGGTTGACATTTTGGTTTCCTGGTAAATGTCTATGACAATAACTATTGTCTAAATACAATAGATACAAATACTAAATACAGTCTAACTGTTCATTCATGGTCCCCAGAGGATGAATCCATGGTGATTATGTGACGGCAGGGTTAGCTGGTTGGTGCAGAACAAACTAAAAGGACAGTTATTATTGGATTTGTCTTTACATACTGTACATTACCTTCACATTAGCATATTGTCCATTTTGTTTACTGATATGTCAGCTCAGAGGTGTGAAACTAGAAACTTGGCAGCAGCTGTAATTCAACAAAGTGTGTAAACTTCAAGAATGTGCAGCAAAATCAGGCCGCAGGAGTAGGAGATTTATAAAACATTTACATAAGATTTACATAAACATAATCAAAAATGCTGCTCTGAACGGCAGAAACCAATTTAGTGTGTGTGTGTGTGTGTGCATAGAGGGAAATGAGCGTCTAAAAATGAAAGCACAGCAGTAATTACACCCCAGGAATAGGTCCTAATTGAAAGGTAGTTCCAGTAGCTACACTAATGAATTGATTTAATCATTTAATAGTTAATTAAAAGGCAGCACAGTTGCTCAGCGGTTAGCACTGTCACCTCACAGCGAGCAGCCCCCCTTTTGAGTGCCAGTTACTCATCTTCACTGTGTTAACATGACGTTTCCCCCCGTCAGTCCAAAAATAACACTTGATTTAAAGATTATTTTTGCCCATAGGTGTGAATAACTTTTACGTGTGCCGACTTGGGTCTAATTATAACACCGAATATGAGATTTCCCCACTCACAGTTCAAGATAAAGTTGCGTCTAAGTTAGGAATTTGGGGCATTTTTTCTCCAACCGCAGTTTATGACGTGAAATGCATGTTCTTTTTTAAAAATACACCTGCTTTTAAATGAATTAACATACAAATAAACTTCCATGTTTTCATTTTCATTGTTTTAATTAATCAATTATGCTACAAAAATGTCCATCACAGTTTTCCAAAGCTTTAGCTGATGTCTTTAATTCATTGTGATGAACAGTTTATAACCTAATAAAAAAGATTTAAAACTAGAAATTCGCCTTCTGTCAGACAACACTGTATGCGTGTAGGTGTTAGGATGGCGCTAGCATGTTCTCATCCCTTATCAGGCCCCATATCAGGTTCCTTTAATCCCAAAATATCTGGAAAGTGACCCAAATTAATCATTTCAGGTGGTTAAATGAAGTCTGCTGGGAAAGTCCTTATGCATGCTCAGCTTTACTATCTACTAATACGAAACATGTTGACGTATTATTGAAAAAGACTTTGCGTGTCCTCTCACACATTCAAGTGACCTTAATCAACATGTTTACATGTGAAATTATTTCCATTTGCTTCCCATTGTGAATCCAGGAGTTGTCAATAAAACACATCTGCCACTCTGATTTTAATTTTGTCCTCTTGTTGCTGTAAGAGTTTGATCCACTTTGTAACAATTGTAATTCTTTGGCACCTTCACTGTCTGAAATCAAAGAGCTTTTGTTATTAAAATTGTACATTTCGATGTCATTGTCATTTAAATTACAGTGGTTTAAAGTACTTTTACTCAAGTACTAAACTTAAGTGCAAATCTGAGATACTTTATTTCCATTTTCTGTATACTTTTATTACATAATTTCACTTTTTATACTTTGCAGATTCTGATTAATAATACAAAATATAAACAATTAGGAGGAAATATTATAGATTAAGCTAACAATTTATAGATCCCTAGGGGCGGATCTAGAAAGATTTTTTTACATACTGTTTATTACCTTTATTTTAGTTTAATGTACATTATATTTACGTTAGAATCCTGTATATTGCACATTTTAGGAGAGCTGCCATCTTTATCGTATATGTTAATGGTAAAAACATCTAATTTTAACAGACATTACACTAATGAAAACATACCTATTAATAATATATTCCATTTCTGCCTATAGATCCTCCTAAATGTTACACACTGGACCTTTAAGTACACCTTTATTTTGATGCTCATGCTTTTACTTGCAGCATTTCCACACTGTGCTATTTCTGCTTTTACATAAGTGTATTTGCCCTCTCTCTCTCCGTCACGTGTGGGGATAAAGTGTGAGTGTTATCAGGCTAGCTCTATCAGATTAACATACACTGCTGTATCTTCCACTCAGCCCCCTCATCTCCTTCTGGCTTTCTTTCTTTCTGTCTTTATTTTTTATTTCCGTCTCAGCTGCTTCAGACCCACTGTGCCAATCCCTCTCAACAGTTTTCATTGTTATGCAGATGAAGTCCAGTTAACTCGCCTCCGTAAATCCAAATGGGATGAAAGCTATTTCAGAGGAAATATGCCTTCATGTCGGAGCCGGCCTTAAACAGCCCGACTCCCCGCTGCCTTAACAAGGCCCATCACTGCTACATAAATAGGTACCTGTGACTGGATCAGGTGATGTTTCGGGGCATCTGGGGAGGATGTGAACATCAAAAGTTAGTAGTTTGTTGCTGAACCTTGTCAAACATCAACTGAGCATATTAAAGAGAGTCTGCTGGCAGATCTGGGACAGTTAGTGGAAGAGAGAAAAAAAAGGCATTTTTATTGCAGTATTAATTGTTTGTGATAATGTTTTTTTTTTATGCTAATCCAAGCAGCTCTCTGATGCTCTCTAGTGGCCGGGTCGGATATCGCTGTTTCACATTTGTATGTTCCCTTTTTATGATATTAAAGAGAAAATACTCAGATTATTGATAAAGCAGAGGTGTTGTGTTTACATAATACATGTTTTGTGCTGCTTAAAACGTCAGGATAATGTATATTTTATGTAAAAGTAGTACTTTAAAGGTGAATTTAAATAACTTACTTGAGTAAATGTACTTTCCAGCACTAAAGGTTAGAAATACAACAATGTAAAAATACTCTATAACAAGTAAAAGTTCTGCATCTAGACTCAAGTAAAAGTCTTAAAAAGTACTCTCAGTGTCATTATATACAGTATATAACGTGAAAAGGATGCTGGCCATGGTTGAGCTAATTTTAAGTACTTTATATGATAATTATCAATTAATCTGCCTCTTACTTTCTCGATTATGTCAGAAAATGGTGGAAAACAGTGAAACAAGTGTCTTGTTTTTCAGTTTATAGTCATAAAAGATCACGAAAACAAAATATTCCCAATTGAGAAGCTGTAATCAGTGAATTTTGTTGTTTTTTTCTCTAATTTTCCATTAATTAAAATTGATTGCTATATATGTTGTTTGACAGTAATCTATAAAAACAGATCATATTTTTTTATGTTTTGGATGTAAAATATGAATCATCAAAGTGAAGAGCGACTAAAGTGAAGCAGAATTTTAAAGCAGCAGAAAATGGGAAGTTGTACTCGAGTACTAACTGGGTAAATGTACTCATCAGATTCCTTATAATCGACTCAGTTCATCCGATATCTCGTACACAGTTCTGCTTTGTAAACAAGCTCCATCGTAACAGTTGCAACGTATGGCTACTAACAATGTATGCAGTGTATTTGCATTGGAAATCTCTTAATGCTCGTTTACTCCGACCTTTAGTACCTCTCAGTTCATCTCCTGCTCAACGGCGAGAACAACACAGTCTCTGTTGAAATGTAAACAAACACAAACACCAACATCAGCACTTCAGTGGTGGAAGAAGTATTCAGATCTTTTACTTAAAGGTCCAAAAGTCTCATAATATTACGTAAAAAAAAAAAAAGTCCAGTTTGTAACATTTAGGAGGATCTGGAGTCATAAATGCCACAAACTGGACTTTTAAAGCAGCAACAAGAATCTTTAAATGTGTTGATTCTGGCGCCCCCTGTGGACAAACGTGGTAGTGTTTCTACCGCCTTGTTTCATTGATTTCAAGGGGAATCTAAAGAAGAATATCTATATAAAAACAGCAAATCTTCTTGCTTATAGTCTTGTTTTTTTATGTAGGTCAGTATTATCTGAGCACTTCTACACCACTGTTGCTGTGACGCTGTAAAGTTTATCTTATTTAATCTTATTTTGTAGTAAATAGCGATTATATGTCAAATATATATACTGAAATTTTTAAAAAGTACAATATTTCAATATATATAATATTCAATGGCAATAAAAAGCAGCGTAAAACGTAAATACTGCACTCAAGTAAAGTCAGACGGTTCGGTACTTTACATATTCCACCACTGTTATTTGGTTGATAACAATTAATGCAAAGAAAACCCAAAGACATAAAAGAATTAATAATAAGTCAGTGAATTGTGACAAAAAAAAAAGTCTTTATTCCAACTAAAGATGTTACGTTCCCTGAGAAGAAGTGTTACACAGTTATCATCTACAAACTGTAGACTGGTCACAAATTTAAAAAATCATCGCATTTAGCAGCTATGTTCACACTTTCCTAATTATCATAAAAGATATGTCAATATGTGTTTTTAGTGGGAATAATGAGAAAACTCAAAAGGCCTGTCCTACTTTTATATTTTCTTTCCCCAGCCTTTATAGCACAGTTTTTTTTTCATTATAACAGGCTCAGGCCCTAATCTCCTCGAGAAGTGCCCACTGTGCCATCCAGTATTTTACCCCTTTCATTTTCCAATGCGTCAAAACTTCAAATCCCTCTTTCTCCCTCTTCCACACATTACCTACACAAAGTCACAAGTCCCAAAGGTGCTTTGATTGTAATGAGCTGCTGAGCGAGAGAGCTTAACTCGCTGCTCATGTCTGAATTTTTTATCCACAGTTTGACAACTTTTAATGTTTCTGCTGTTCGAGGCAAAAGATTAATTCAAATGTTCACTCTGAGGAAGAAGCAGCAGCTGTCTGACTAACAGTGAAACTTTGTTTAAAACGGTACTCCACCCTGTAAACTAAATTATATGACTGTACTGTGATGAAACAGAGATGACTGAAGGTCAGTGCCGACATATTATTTGACCATTTTGGGGGGTGTTCTCCACGTCATAACATTTAGATTATAAAAACAGTGTTAACACCCTCTAATCAACCTCCCCCAGCGTCCGCTTTGAGTGGTTGAGTCTTTGCGCATCCGGTCCGTTTAAAAATAAATACAAACCCACATCATTTAAGTCTTCGGAACATAATGAGGGTAGCTCGGCCTCTTGTAGCCGTGGTGCTAAATGCAGGAAAGCAAACGCCGATAATCTGAAGCTGACAGCAGGTGAAACTCTTTCTTCTTGACACCTTGGACCCGATATTGCCTCTTTCGTTTTCTACTTACAAGTGAGAAGACCACAAAGTCATCCTCACTGCGTGGTGACTTCATCTTGTATTGTGAACTTTTGCAACAAACAAACAAAACGCTTCAGATTCAGCGTGCAAAGTTTAAAAGTTTAACAATTTTAATCAGTTGAAGGGTTAAAAAGCGCATTCGAAAAATCGGAACTTGGTGTGCAAAGGCCTTGAAACCGCTGAGCACGTTTTCAATTGTATACTGAGACACATCATTCACAGGAGTTTATGCTAGTTTTTGCTAACCCTCTACTTATTATTTTTCTATTTTGGTGCAGTGGTTTGGACTGTAAAAAGCACCACCGGACTGCAATCTTTACCTCGATCCCACGCACTGACACACATACCGGAGAGATAGCCTCTTTGAGCCTTTAGCTTAGCTACAACAACCTTCCACGAATGTGCTTCTAGTGACTGTAAAAGCTCCAGCAGACTCTTCTGTGTTTCCAACTCGGACTCGGAGAGGCTGACAGCAGCTAGCTCATTAGCTCTGATTATCAGCTCGTGGTCCGCTGTGGTCAGTCTGTCGGTGTCGAGGCCATGTCCCGTAAAGTCACTGTCCTTTGCAGGTCTTTGATTTTCTGAGAGGGAGGTCAGACTAGCAGACTCAAAGGGTGTAAGTTAGTTAGGAAGTGACAAACTTGTTGCTGCTTTTTAGACGCTTATTTGCCACAACCCTGAGCTTCACTCCCAGCCTGAGTTCCTTTCCTAACTGCTCACATTTTAGTGATGTCCACAGAGTCGTGAATGTCAATCACCTGGAACCCCTTGTTGTCGATCCCCAACTTCTCCTGTTTACTGTGGTTTTCTTGGTTGTGGCTGTTGTGGTTTCTCTGCTCTGAGTCCGTCTCGAAGCAGCGGACGCAGTGTGGCGTGGTGACCCGAACACTTTTGGAAAAGTTTGAGAAATCCACGCAGTACTTTCCCGTCTGGGTGCGGGAGATGATGGGCAGGAAACTGTGTCCCCACTGAATCTCCTGTGGGATGTAGGAGGTGCGAACCTGACAGAAGGAGCTGGTGGACTCGGCCGTCCCGTCCAGAAAGACCACCAACTCAAAGTCCTGCTGGTGAAGAGAGTCAGCTGACAGCTCGTAGAACGGACTTGATCTGTCAATCACGTGGTAAAGGGTCAGAGGGCAAACAAAAAATAAATTATCCTTGCCGGCATCAACCATAAAGTTGATGTCCACCTGGTCCAGGATGATGGTCTCTCCTTCTGGTGTGGTTGTGGTCCTGAGCAGCTTGCCGTAGATCTGGCTGCCGATTAATAAGGTCTTCCGAAGGTTGGCCACTCTGATCAGAAGACACAGACTTCCTTTCTTCAAGCAGATCACAGCTGTGTCGCTGAAGGTGACCGTCTTTGCCCTTTTTTTGGGCAAGGAGATCTTGGCCAAGATGACGCCGCACATGAAACAATTGATGAAGACGCCAATTAGTGACTGGATGATGATGAGAGCCACGGTGCCGGCACAGTGCCCGGTCAACGCCCTTCCGCCATACCCAATCGTTGTCTGGGTCTCCAAGGAGTAGAGGAACGCCGTTGTGAGGCCGTTGACATTATCCACACACTGGACGTGTCCATCTGTGCGGTTCTGTCCTGTCAGATCCCCGTTGCTCTTGGCGATCCAGTACCACAGCAGGCTGAAGATGAACCAGCTGCCCGTGAACGAACCCACAAAGAGGAGGAGAACAAAGCGCCAGCGGATCTCCACAAACGTGGTCCAGAAGTCCACCAGGTACGCAAAGTGGTTACTGTATTCAATGTTGCCGAACTCAATGTTGCAGTGCCCGTCTTTGGTGACCAGGCGGGTTTTGCAGCTTCGGTGTCCAGCTGGCTGGATGTGACCCTGGAGCAGCTGGATCATCCTGGAGCTGGAGAGAGCAAACGCAACATTAGTACAAAGCTGCATCTAAGTATTTTGGAGCAGGAACCAAACAGACTTGTGAATGCAGAATCTGTAGGCAAGGAACCAAGAAAGATTTTGGCATCGGAAGCGTTCTGGTTTCGGATTGTAATCCGAGTAGTATTGACCAATAATGTTTGAGTAAGCTTTGGTTGCATCAGCCATCGGCTAGTGACAGCATTTTATTAGCTTTTTTAAAATTTGTATCTGAATTCTAACACAGATTTATGTCTAAAATGTGCCTTTCTCTTCATTCTCACGTATCAATCTCGCATTTCTAATCGGACAGCAGAGGAAGTCTTGGCCCGGATATTCATTTTCCGGCTAAAAGCTGGCCGGAAGTACCAGAGCATTGTGCCCGAAGGCAAAATCGCCAACAGGTAACCTTAACCATGGATTCCAAGATAGTCTTATACCAGACAAGTAAAGTAAAATATCCCCAAAATCACACATTTGCTGTACAAGTATTGTATTATATAGTCATACATACAACACCTGCTATCCTTAAACTCTTTCTTCCGAACTGAACAACAGCGAGTTGAATCCCACACGAACTACGTAAAATACAAGTTGAATATCTTCACGTATTTGTTATTTGATTATTAATTTGAATGAACAGGACACATTAGTTTGGGGTGTTGTGTCTCACTTACTGTAAAGTAAAAGTATTGTGTGTGTAGTCTGATATGTGTTTTTCCTCTGCGCCATAGAGCTCCATTGTTGTCCAGAAACAATTAAAAACACATTAATGAGCCCACGTTTCTTCATTAACTGTAAATCCTCATTAGAGCATTAAATGTGTATTAATCTGCGTCTGAAAATAGTTCCCAACAAATACACAAATACTTATTCCTGTTTTACTGAAAACCAGTTGCCCTTTTTATTGAAAATGAAACTACATTATTTGTGACCTGTTTTTACATCATACTGGATGTGAGAAGCAGACATGCAGAACTTTCACATTTTTTAGTTTCTGTCTTTTCATGGGAAAATATATAATATCTGCAAACCTATCCTTTAACCAACTTAATCCCTAACCAGTTATCTGTAACTATCACCTTTCTGACTTCAGTTCAGTGCTACAGTGTTTCTGACTTGTTTTCAGGCAAATTGTAGATCTATTTGGTTGTACATGTCAGTCAGAGCACGCACCTAAACGAGTATGTCTGTTCAGTAGAGGCAACACAACAGGATAATGCGAGTCCTATAGGCACAAACAATACATTATTCATTTATTTGAGTTATTGTACCTGTTGGTACTGTGCAGTATGCACCACGTGGTTCACTTTGAGCTTTACATAACAGCTGCTCATTAAACTCAAGGTTGAGATTCAAGAAACTTGTTTGTTTTGAAAAAAGAAATGGTACTAAAACAACAGTTGTCAACAGTTTGATTATAATTAACATGCTAATGGTGTTCATTAAATACATGTTTGTTACTTTGACACCACAAAAACTAACTGCTAAACTGCCTGTGTGTTGTTGTTTTGTTATTGTATCACTTTACTTGTTGTTATATAGTTTGCAAGGCCCCTTATTGTATATTCTGTTAGAGACAACAGTGGGGAAACTAAAGAAAGTAACATCTTCACAATTTAAAAAGATGTTGAAGTAACTTTCCTTCTGAGCTGCAGTAAAAACTAATACTGTATGTATTAGACATTAGACTCATCTGTACTTTAAAAGCACCAAAACACACTCAATAAGTGAATCATTCATCCACTCTCAGTTCTGTAAAAAAAAAAAAAAAAGTTTAGTTTCGACATACCTGCTAAGTGAGACCATGGGCCCAGACTGCTCACTGGATCTCCGCTGGAACTTCAGTCTTTCTTTTAGCGAGTGGCCATGGAGGCGTTGGAAAGATTTTAATCCACAGTGAAATTTCCTAATCCCAGCCACATGCCACCATGTACACTGGCTTCATAGAGACAGAGGAGCCAGCCAGAGATCTCCCAGTGGGCGTCAGTTCTCTCTGACTGGCAGAGCGACTTCCCTCATCGCTCCACCTAAAAAAGTCTAATAACGCAACCAGTTGCTTCATCAGCACTGGGTGGATGATGGCTGAATTTCTGACCAGCATTAGGAGTTTTCTGGAGAAGTCCTCAGCGCTTTAATGTGCCAGAAGGTGCATCTATTGAAGGGGCCAAAGTGGTCGGTGCTGCACCCATGCTGTTTTTGTTTTCAGCCCTGAGAACATTTGGGATTTGCGTTGGGCCTCACAAAGAAATCCCTCAATTGCATTTCCCGTGGTTCCCCCTCCCCCCCTCTTCGAAACAACCTGCAAGGCTGCCTCACATTTGCATCAAAATGAAGAGGCCGCGGGGACAAAGTGTCTTTGCTGTATTCTCCTGGCTGTAGCGGGACCATTTTCATATTTGAAGAGCATATTTTCCTGATTTGTTATGATATGAGAGAGGTCTCAGATGCCCCTCAGCGATGGATACAGATGCCGTTAGCTGCATGCAAATGAAGGGAGCAGGAGATGGTTGAAGATGCAGATGGTGTTCCTGCCGTATTGATTCAACTGCAGAGACCCTGCAGGAATCTTAAAGGCTACTGTAGCAACCTTCTGCCATAACACAGTCAGTGGTCTTTAGTCAGGTGTGCAGCTGCATCTACACAAGTGTTTTATGCACCAGCAAAATAACAGCTGGTACAGAGCTGCACATAAAACACACTGCAGATTCATAAAAGGAAGAGAGTAATGCTGCATTATGCACTCCACAACATGTGAGACATTTTCACTTCATTATGTAACAGTCTGCCACAGCATGAAGGCAATGTGTAATACATTTCTCCGCTGTTTTATAATGAATTATTACATTTTGTGGTGTGTTCAAATACAGCTTTTTACATTCATGTAATCAATACAACATAAGATCGCTGCATTCACTCAATAAAGGGAAAAAACTAAACAAACATCCAAAACAAGAATGCTTCTACTGTTCTAACAAATATGTAAACTATTCATAATTTAATATATTACCTGCAATAAATGCAAAATAATATATTTAGAAGAGAAAAATACAAACTTCTACAAGGTCAGAATCTGCGTTGTCCACAGCAGATAAAAATATAATAATATGATGCAGTATGAAATAACGCAGCGTTCCCCAAAGTTATTGGGCCCCCATTGTCAGTAAAGTGCGTAACAATGCTGTGATATATGAACAAATCTTTTTAATTAATGAATAAGAGAGAATGCTCAGCTCATATGTTATGTGCAGAGATCCTCTTTATCCATTTCCTCACAAACCCCGACCAGAAAGAACGTGAGGTAATGTTGATTGTGATTCCCTTTTCTCTCCATCGCAAAAACACAAGAAGAGTTTATTAACGTTGGCTTCACCAGAGCCGTTCGAAAGGCAGCGAAGAGTACTCATCGGTAGTTTATAAATGTAGATTTTATGGGAATTATACGTTTGTGTCCCAGGGACACACCACATTTCTCTTTTGGGTCTCAAGCTGAAAAAGTTTGGGATAACTACTAATAACCAACCAAAATTGATTTCTTAATCTGTACAAATTTGTTTAATAGTTAAACTAAATTCCCAAAGTTGACTCTGATCTTAGTCTGAATAAAAGCAGTCACAAGAAACTCGGGGACTTGACAGATGCCGACCTGGGAAAAGGGAGTCCAGCTTTGACATTTTTTATTCTTATTTTAGTTGATTATTGTGTCACTTTAAGTCTTGCATTCAATATATGATTCGAATATTTTGCTCAGTCTTTGTTTAACATTGGTAAAGGGGCTTTTTTTTTGCAGATCTACTTTCACATTCACGTCAAAAATAAAGATGGGACTTTTATTCTTCTAGTAAAACTCTTGAAGTGCCCAACGACTGTATTCTGTAAGTTTCATTCTGACTGGGTTTTTTTTTTGTTTTTTGCTGGTGTGCTGCATGTTGGCAGCAAGAAGAGGATGTGGAGGCGGCTGGTGTCACTATTACCTGATCTGTGGAGGTGGCGGTTGGGGGGGGGTTTAGAAACCCATCTGTAGATGCAAGAAGAAAACCACAAAACGATTAGCATCATCGAGCTGAGCAAACCATGCAACATCTTTTACATTGAGCAGAATCCAAAATAAGTATGATGTGGTTTGATGGCGATGAGTGATTGTTATACTTAAGAGGGAGGACTTTTACTTTTTACTCCACTATGATCATCAAACAGCTGTAGCTGCTGGTTACTTTCCATATTATTTGACATATAATATGAGTATAGATATAATATAATTAATTACCAGCTGTATATAAAGTAGTTAAAAGTAGCTCCACCTCGATCAGTAAAATGTTGCTTTGACATAACAGCACTGAAGGAAAATCTTGATGTTTTTTCAGTTACTGGTCAAGACCAAGTGTGAACCTATCACAAAACCTCGAGTTTGGCGTATTGGTCGTCGCTGTGACGTTTTTTTGGAAGTGATGTACTGTGAGTTGATCTGCTCTCATTGGCTGCGCAGTTTCAACTCGTCCGTAGTAGGAAACAATGGCTAAAATATGTTTCTGATGGATTTGAGGAGAGAAATAGTCAACGCAGTAACAGAATCTGGATCCATATTTGATCAGCACTGCCTAGTTTGACAGTTTGATCTGAGTTTGGTGCGTTGAGCTGGACGGACTCACTATAAGCATACCCTGC